ACACCTTTTAAATTTGTAGAGAGATCCACGAAACTCGCATAATCTCTATTGATCATTTCCACAAGTTCGCTTTTCAAGCTTTTCAAATGCACATTCAATTCTTTTTTTAATTCATCCAAAGTTAAGTGACGTCTATTTGCCAGAAAATGGTCACAGTTGAAATCAGGTGTAGAAAACATTTCTCGAGTGAGTGGTGGTGGAAATGGTAATGGAGTCCTCCCAACATTCAAAAACTCCGGTGTAGGAAGAGATTTTGACCATGTTTTCGTCTCAAGGGATTCTGGACCCGTATAAACGTTGAGACTTGGAGGCTCCGAATTTCGAGTTTGAACCGTTTGTTCGATATTCGCAGATGATGAGGATGTCATATCGAATAGTGTTTCCTGAAAGAGTCTATCATTTTTGATGTTACTTTATCCTAACATCTGTGTAATCACGTATTTTAGGTAACGCTTTACGATAATCACAGTTTTTTTTATCTCTATCGAGATCTATCCTTTAGATTTCAATTGGGATCGACTACGTTTTGTAAAATGGCCCACGTGATAAGACGTTGCTTCACCACTACAGTTTCAAGACAGGCCAAAAAACTAACAATAGGTTTAATACCAGCTGATGGTATAGGAAAGGAAGTTATTCCTGTAAGTATTTATTTTTACGAATAAAAATTCGAACATTTTATATTAATGCCTTCTTAGTGTGCGAGACAAGTTCTCGAAGCACTTCCGAATATCGGAGATAGTCCAAGTTTTAATTTTATAAACCTAGATGCAGGATTTGAATATTTTCAAAAAAATGGAACTGCCTTGCCAGAGGCAACTTTAGAAATTATGAAAAAAGAATGTGATGGGGCACTTTTTGGGGCTGTTAGGTAGTTTGAATTTTACATTTTTAGTTATGTCGATCATAATCGTAATTAAATCTGATTGAATTACTTAGTTCGCCATCTCATAAAGTCGCTGGTTATTCATCTCCAATCGTGGCCATGCGAAAACATCTAGATCTTTACGCAAATGTGAGACCTGTTGTGTCCGTCACATCTGAAAAGGATCTTAGTCAAAAACACGTTGATATCTTGATAATTAGAGAGAACACCGAATGCTTGGTAAGAACTTGACTTTTAACATTTCATAATACTATGTATTATTCTTTAATAACTTGTATATAATGGCATGTATTTCCGGGAATAGTATGTAAAAAAGGAACGGCAAATAATTGATGAATCAACAGGGTTAAAGGTCGCGTGGGCCGAACGAAAAATAAGCGAATATGCCTCTAGACGGTGTGGTAAAATGGCATTCGAAATGGCTTTGGGAAGGGATAAACTTCGACAAAGCATCCCGTTAGAAAAAAGACTTTGGAAAGGGAAGCCAAAGGTGACAATTGTTCATAAATCCAACGTATTGAGCATTACTGACGGTTTATGGCGAGAGACAGTTCGGGGCGTTAAAGAAAATGACCATAAATACGATAGTGTAGATATGGAGGAACAACTCGTAGATTCAATGGTGTATCGTCTTTTCCGCGAACCTCATTATTTTGACGTCGTTGTTGCACCAAATATGT